TACGGAGCGCTCTAGTTTGGGGCCCACCCGCGGCCCTGACGCCCGAGTACAGCCCCCAGCCAGCCCGCGGGAAATACGACGCCGCTAGTTTGGGGCCCGGCCGCCCCCCCCGGCGCCTGAGTAAAGCCCCCAGCCGCCGGCCCATTATTGTCGGGGACATTTCGGATTCCCCGGGGTCCCGTTCGACGCAAGGGGGGGTTTCTGGGCGAGGTTCTGCCGCCGGCCGCAGCGGCCGAGGGGCCTACTACCCCGGGGCCCCGAGGTATCCTAAGTCACCAGTGGGATTTTGTGGAACGGACCAACAACAAACAAGGCGGGTGCTGAGAACCGACTCGTCCGAGCTCCAGAGCCAAAGGGAAAGCCCGCTATTATCCCCCCCCCTTAGTCAAAAGGTGCACGATGGTCCTCAGTAATCAAAGAGGTAAACATGCAGCACCTAACTTCGGGTGCCGACCCCTCCTAGCGTTCCCTCCTCTGCTAGTTGGGCCCCGGTTGGGCAGCGCGGTTGGGCCCCCTTCTCTCTCCCCCGCACCCCACTTTGCGGTAGTTTATCACTACCGCATATATAAGTTCAACACCGCATATAAGCTCAACACCGACATTGCAGTTGGAGGGTTCAACAAAGGACATTGAAGACTCAACACCGACATTGAGGTCTTCAACATACAATCCGACATTGAAGTCTTCAACATATGCGCTCAAACCTAAAGTCTCGCTAACAAAAAAACAGCAAAATCGTACACCAAAAAAGTTATTTTTTTTTCTTGAAATTTCGGAAATTTCAATTCTAGGCTTCTTTTCTTTTGGTATGTCTTCTGCGCAGGCCTGAAAGAATCACGTGTTCAAAGTTGTGCGAAGGAGACTGAAGCAAATACGTAGCGTGGCTATAGCCAATTCTTGGGTTATGAGCCTCGTGGAAAGTAATTTTGATGTAGATCTCACCAAGATTGTGCTGGAAGCGCCAGTCGTGCGTGGCTTTTATGAAGGTCATAGCAGCGCGCAGCGGTCAAGCCAGTGTCGGATCTGCGCACAATAATCATCAGTCGCGCGAAGAGAAAGCGCCAGCGTGGGCGCGCGAGCGCGTGGGCGAGCGCGTGGGCGCGCGAGCGCGTGGGCGAGCGCGTGGGCGCGCGAGCGCGTGGGCGCGGAAGCCGACGCGGTGCGCGAACAGATGTCAGCCAATTTAAAATGTCATTAAATGGCTTACGATTTTGCACTTGATTTGCGCACTGTATGTTGAAGACTTCAATGTCGGATTGTATGTTGAAGACCTCAATGTCGGTGTTGAGCTTCAAGGTCCTTTGTTGAACCCTTCAACTTCAATGTCGGTGTTGAACTTATATGCGGTGTTGAACTTATATATGCGGTAGTTTATAGATAAACTACCGCAACTTCTCCGAGCGACTTCTCCACGGTTATGCGCTAAGGCGGCGCTAAGGGGCGCTGCTAAGGGGAATCGGACCGCTCGGATAAGGCGACCTGGTATACGAGCCTGGCACTGGCCCGCTGCAATGCCCGACGTCGCAGTCGGAAAGGTGCACTGCAACATCGGGGGGCCCATAGAAGTAACATGGAAATGACGACAGTAGTCAGAGAGAAACAGTCGCTCAGATTGAAAAAATATGGGTTTCGTCCGCGTGGACAGATGTGAAGAAGCTTCGGCAATCAAACTGAGTCAGAAGCATCAGGCGTATTGTAATTCGCGCCAGCAGAGCAGTGATCATCTGTTGACACAGGACAAAGTCGAAGATCAGTAGGGGGGCGCTGTAGCGTTTGCCAGGAAGAGTGGTGTGTGTGTGCCAGACCGAGTCCTTGACTTTGCTGAATCCATTCCTGCGGGGTTCCGGAAAGCTGAGCATGCTGCGGTGTCAAATAAGCAGCAGTGGCATCGGCACTCTGAGCTGAGGTGCGAGCTACTCCACACGTTGTGTGCGCAGAAGACTTGAGCATGGCTTCGGCTGCGTGCTGCAAATGAATTGACGAAGAAAAGGAAGAACGTTTCTCCTGGTCTCGAGTTCGCAAGGCTTCTGATGTGATGAGTGGCCAGATTGGCAGTTCACATTGGCCAGTTCTACCTGGCATTTGGCCTGGATTAAAATTTGAGTTCCAGGTGTGATTATATTGTTTTGGACCAGGATTATCTGGGTGACCTACATGAGAGCTCTCGAGAGGAGCGGCACGGTGATAATGTGCAACGGTGTCAGTCGCGGCAGTGCTTGTCCCCCCCCCCAAAAAGCCATGGAGATTTATGGTTGACTGTAGCGTCCGGGGCACATGCATGCGTGCGTATTCTCCGGTCTGACCGTCTGAAGCACCGCTAGTAATAGCAGATATAGCTGCAATGTCATCACGATTTTGTTGGATAGCGCTAGAAGCTATGGTCATATTCGCCCCTTTCAAGCGTTGGTCAGCGTAGGAGAGATTGGGATGCCGCGCCCAATTGGGCGAGCAAGCCGATTGATTAGTCATCGTTGTCATGGCGATATCGTGCGATGTAGCAGAAACTGTAGTTTGTTCTGAGCTGGTGTGACGCAAGGAAAGTATTTCTTGGAGGCCAAGGCGGTTCTTATAATTTTGATAGTAGTTCTTTATCTGAGCCTCGGTCTTTGTCGGAATCAAAAGCGTAAGCGCAGACCAGTTTTTCCCATGCGTTACAAAATGACGGAGGAACAAAGCCTTTTCACTAGCAGTCCACTTTTGGGGTGGGCGGCGCTCAGTTACTGTGCCCCCTGAAAGTTCATCACCATCCACACGGTTTTCCATTGTGGGAGAGCTGAGAGAGGAGGTTGCAACAGGGACATTCAAAGGTGAGCACGCAGGGGCGGATGGGAATTGTGCAGTTTCGAGCCGCACTCTCATTTCGCACTCAGTCGCTTGGTCGATGGATATTTGCCCATTGCTAGCAATCGGTGCGCCAGCATGGTTCATTGCGCTCGAAACATGCAATGCTTCTGATGAACACACCACAGGAGGTGCGAGACAAAACCCTTTGGTGCCAACGGCAATTCTACTTGGCTGGCCGTATTCGGTATGCAGCTGCACCAGACTGTCAGGAGGGTTAAGATCATTTGTATCACTTCGCTGCAAAGAGGAAGCGAGAAGCGCAGGAGCCTGTGGCTGTGAATCTTTGCCAGTCTGGCTGATGGATGTGCTTCCGAGTGCAGCAGCATATGCTGCATTGGCCGCTTGTTGTGCCGAATCGCTATAAAAACAACTTGATGGTGGCAAGTGACCAAAATGCTTCGAGTCATCATGGTGGCCAGAAGGTGCCAGGCGGCTGGAAAACGCCGGTAGAATGGGCGCCGCTTGATGAAGATCATAGGCAAGGCGCTGGTGATCATCACTCAGCGGAGCTGAATTTGACAATCCATAACCACTGATGCCCACCAGGAGCGGTGCCGGATTGCCTCGAATTGGCATCCTCATGAGTTGACGGTCACAAACCTGCCGATGGTGTTGCTGCAGGTCACTTTGATGTGTGAGAGTACTGATGGTTGGAATCTGGGTTGGACATTCAACAGAGCCTGTTGATGTTGATAGCACCGGGGATATCGAAAGTGGGTGACTCGAGAACCTGTCGTGACGACTGAACGTTCCGTTGCCTTCATGCTGCTGATGCGCAAAGATGGGTGTTGCAGCAGATGTTGGTGCATGCACATTTGCTGGCGCAAGTGGTTCAGCATTGTGCGGTACCGCTATATAGTGCTGTGAGCGGTGAATTTGTTGTGAACATTGCTGAGTTTTGTGTGCCTTGAGGCGCTTTTGCGACACCTCAGAGGTGACACTGCCTGGTTCAATTACGCGCTTTTTCATGGATGAGGGCGATGCCTCAGTTTTAGCTCGGTGAATGACAACATGAGGCGCATCAGCTGTAGCAATGCTGCTATTAGTATTTGAGACCTTCACACTTTTGGCAGCAGGTAACCGCATCTTCGCATGACTCGGCTTGCTTTGCGTGAGTCTTCGTTTTGTCGCTGGTAGAATTGGCTCCTTGGCCCCCCTGCAGCTCGCAGTGCCACTCCTTTGCTTCTTCCCGAAAGATTTTTTCAATATTGAACTCCCGTCACTGGGGCTGATAGCAGGAACTGTGTGGATTTCATTAGTGACAAAGCCAATGCGTCGGCCCCTAGGAGGATGTTTATTTGCGGTGGTCGTCGAAAACGTGTTGCTTGGCAAGCGAAACCAAACAATATTTCGTCGATGATCATGAGTCAGCTCACCACCGAATTCATGAACAGCCCTGGCAGTAATGTCCCAACAGATGCGCACCCCGCGGCGGCGTTGTTGGTGCTCACGAAGAAGCGCCTTATAGTCTATGCAATACTTTGAATCATAGTAAAGTTGCACGCAATCACGTGCGCGTTTGCGGGTGAAGAACGCAGAAATTTTCCCAAAGTTTTTCGGATACTGAAGAAATTTATCGAGAAAAATGCACTTCTCTAGATCTGACCACAAATTATTGTTTGCAGACTGAGCTTGCTCTGCACAAGGATCAGGAATAAGGCGACAGGCGAGTCTTGATTCTTGGAGGCGAGGATCCTCTCGGGCAAGAAATGCTACTGGGAGCGGTATTGGAAGATCCTCTTCGTTGACGGCCCCACGCTCAACGCGAGCCTCCTTCGCCGATGATGCCAAAAGCTCGGATACAAGTCGCTCATGCTCAGTAGTCTCATCACGAAGGGCCTTGCGTGCGCGAGTTGGTGCTCCAGAGCCTCCTGTTTCATCACCTTCGATTGGGGTTGGAGCGTAACGTGATGTTGCTGAGACACGCGATGAGCGCGAAGATGCCAGGGACAAGAGTGAGGCACGTGATGTGCCTTCGCTGCCTGCCATAGCCGGCTTGCTGGCTGTAGATACGCATTCGCTACGTCCTGCTGATTTTGTGCCTGGATGTCGACCATGGGCATTTGGAAAAGGCAGTCGCGCCTTGGCGTGCGTATTATCTTGCCACCTTGTCTCAGCACCATCGTAATCATCAGCTTGGTCTGACCAGAAGCTGTGCAATTCACGTGCCTGTTTTCGAGCTACTTCACAAACCGCTGACACGACTAATGATTGCTGCGATTGATTGGCAATCCAAAGTGGTGATTCCTGGGGTTTCCGATACAGAGCATTCGCAAAGCCAGTAGGTGTGACAATCTTTGTCAGCTCTTGCCTAGGGCTCCATTGTGCAATGGATACAGGTTCGAGAGCAGCAAGCGCAATGTGACTAAATGCACGATTCTCTTTGACTAAATGTCCAAAGTCAGGTGTCACCGCCACTGACAGCCTCTCATCAAAATTGGCAAAACTGCTTCCAGCGGAAAGAGGCTCGGCGAGAGTTTGAAAGTTGCGACTAGCAAAGAGCAAATCAATACCTGGAGGCTTGAGAACTGGCGATGCCATGGAGTGCAGGAGCTCGTTGATTCGATCAGCAGTCTGCGACATGATACAGTCCAGGCATTTCAAGGCCTGCTCGAGGCATATAGCGCTTGAATCCATGCGAATCACCCGTGAAAGTGCGTCCCGTATCTGCATGTACGTTTCATCACAAATAAAGCATTCCGCTTTGATCGCGTCTTCAAATTGTAATCGTGCCGTGATACTGTCGTCTGTGCTTGCCAGCGCGATTCCCGTGGCATTAGTAGCAGCTTGCGCAGCAGCAGCGGCGGCAGCCGATGCTCTTACTGAGAAATTCCCATTTGGGTTTGTTGTTAGGACTTCGCTAGGCTCATTTAATGATAGCGTGGCGTCTGTACTCGTCTTGCTTTCAGCTACAGCTGACAAGGTAGAGGTAAGCTTCGTCAGCGTTCCGGGTATAGCCTGTTTCATGATGGGTAAACACCTGCGTTGCATCGCATAAGCATTCGCGCTAGTAACCCCTGAAATATGAGGATCATCTGATGGTGGGATCACTGAATTTTTTTCCTTTTCATCTGAGCCGTGTCCCCAGCACTGCTGCGATTTGGTTGTTGGTATTGATCGTGGCTTACCTCGCGGCGAATTGTACTGATTGGCACCCCTTTCCGCATGCGATTGCTTTTCAGCCCGACTGGGTCCACCTAGCGGAGCGCCCCAAGAGGTCTGTCGATGTAAGGATCGTTTCCCTGGCTGCCCGTCGGCCGCTGATGACGCTAAATGGACACCACTAGTCAAACGGCTCACGTCACCTTCCGTGGGAGCATTGGTTATGCAGCCGCTACCTAGCACACTCCGTAGCGATCTATGCTGTGAGCGCCCTGCATGATCATCGGTAACAGATGTCGTTGGTAAACGGCCCGATAGCCTGTCTGAAAGTCTCTTAAGCGAGAACTCAGATGCAGATCGGTCTGTTTCAAGACTATTAGTTAGAAACTGGGGTGGTGGCATACCCCTTAAGACTGAAGAGGGCTGTTCGCTTGAGAGCTGACACTGAGGTAAAACTATGGATAGGTCCTTGGATGATGACCCATGGAGGCAATCGGTGGACATTTCGCCAGTATTCGTCCGAGAACCGCTGCTATCTTCGCCGCCCAACATCATTCCCACTGTTGCCCCGCTGCTGGCGCTTTTCGTACCAGTGTCACCGCGAATCTCGCCTTCCTCTCTTCCAGGCGGGGCCGCCATAATGCACTCGCTCCTCTAGGAGTAGACGACCGTGCGGACAAAGGATTGAATTTGAATGCCCTTGATTTGGGTAGTCGCAGAACATACCCCCCCCCCTGCGGCTGGCTGGCTAAGCCTGCTTATGCTGGCTATGCTATGCTGGGTCGAATACGCGCATTGTTGGGTTGTAACAGTTTTGGCCGAGTGTAAGTCGTAAGTAACGGGTTAGGGAAGTCGTTGCGTCCAACCCCGCGCGGTGCTTGTCATTAAATTTTTTGCGGCCGTGCTTACGATGTGCTTATGCTAAAATGTTTAGCTAATTGTATCGCAGCAAAAATGCGACCAAAGCAAGCCCAATGCTTCATGAAATTCGATCAACAGAAAATGGATATGCTGTGCATACGAGGTAAGTACACGGAACACCGCATAATTGTAAGCCTCGGCCCATTTTTTAGCTCTTTGCGTGCTACCGCCCATGGTGGCCAAGGCAAACATCTATACCCTGATGCGGAACGGCCTGCGACCATTTACGATAGTTGAAATTTGTTCACAGAGAGCTGCAGCTTCATGCTGTGTGACTGTAGACGCAACAATAGAAGAGGGCGTCCTGGAAGTTCATGATTGGGCACCCGCCTGTGTCACCTTTGTGAAAATATTACACGCCCAGCATGGTTCCGGTAGGTACTACGGCATCTAGGTGCGTCACATGGAGGGCAGCTCGCAGTCCGTGTGACGACGCGAAAGCCGGTGATGGGATCTATGAAGTTTGTTGAGTTGTCCACATGGGTGCAAGCGCCATCACCTGCCATGCCTAGAGCTATTCAACATTGCTCGCCGATCAACGTGGTCTCAGAGACTTTGGGTAGGCAGGTCCAGCACGCATCGCTAGCTCATCACCTTCGTGCAGGTGCAACCCATAGAGAGAACGACTCTTACCAAGTTCGTGGAATTTCACAGGCGTTGCAATCGCGGTGTTTGTTGATGGAGACCTTCGAGTATTTCTCTGTATTGGACGAGTTGATGCAGGCACTGACTTAGTGGTCCTGAATGGCCATAGCGAAGCTGTAGAGGATAGGGTATTTAAAAAATTGTCGGCAGCATCTCGTCTGATAACTAGTTGGGTACCAATCAATGAGCGAGGGACCGAGCAGTTTGATTCGGGGCGACCTTCATCAAAAATTATTCAAATTGGCACGGTATTCGTATATTTAAACACATCCACATGTTGTGGGGAGGCTTCGAGAATATTTGATGCGCTCCCAGCACTGCTTGTCGAGGGACGCCCCGGCGTCAGTAAGAGTAGAGCAGTGACAGATGCCATCACGATATTTCAGCAACTTGGCATCCATGTGGCATGCTGTGATGTGGAGATCATCCTCGATGAAGCTGCAGTCTCGAGAGAGACTCACTTAATCGAGGCTGAAACTTCATCGATAGAAAGCGGGGTGACATCTCCCTCTCTACGTAGCTTCATGCGTGCAGCGGCAGCAACAAATGGTCTTATGATTCTCAATAACTTTGGTGCTGTGGTGCGAGCTACAAGACTCCTTGCAATCAATAAATCCGACAAATTAGAAAATCACGATGTCGTGCGACGGGGTGGTGCAGCATTGTGGTTCTCAGCTGAAATTGAGCGCTGGTCAAAGATGTGTGACGTTCCGAAAGCCTCCGGTATTGTCATGACATGTGACGAACCAATCAATCTGGATAAGGAAAACTTCAAGTCCAAGTATCCGTGCAAGAGCGACCAAGGAGGAATTATTCATGACTCCATTCTTAGTATTTATCGATTTGAGGACGTTGTAACCATAACAGCAAATGATTTGCCTGGGCTGGCGGCTTTTCAAATGCCGCATCGTGAGCCTATTAAAAATTACTTTAAAAGCCACACCACTCTCGACCAGGGTGAAATTAATATCTTGGGTTTAAATCCAGCGCGCGGTGTTCAGACTCTTGTGTGCGCAGATATATCTCAACCGAGTGGGGAGAACCTCATGCCACCGCGATGGCAAGATATTGGGGGTTGTTGGGCAGCTAAGGACGAATTGGAAAAGGCCATCTTCTGGCCCAAAACGTGCACGGTTGAATTTTGTCATTTCACTCTGCGTACATCTCGTGGCATTATTCTCCATGGACCACCTGGAAATGGCAAAACACTGTTAGCCCGCGCTGTTGCTAACCATATGAAAGCAAGATTCATAGATGTTCGATCTGCAGAACTCGTCTTACCATACCTTGGTGAATCAGAGTCAGCTATCCGTAGATTTTTCGCCGTAGCACGCGAAAACACGCCATGTGTTCTATTTTTTGACGAACTCGATGCCATTGGCATGGCTCGTGGTGACGCAGAGCATGCAAACGGCTCAAACCTGCGTACACGACTTGTGGCAACTTTACTGAATGAACTGGATGGAGTGCTTGATGAGAATGATGGTGTTGTAATTTCCGGCGTACAGCACGCGCGCGCGCGGGCGGGGGGGGGTTCTTCAACCTGTCCACTCATGTTTGTAGCTTGTCCTCGCTGCAACGAATCGCCTCAACACGCTCGATGCAGCCCTTATTCGACCCGGTCGTCTTGAAGTAAGCATTTATGTGCCTATGCCGAGCTTCAGAGACCGCTGGGATATTCTTGCACTGGCTTCAAATCACTTGACTCTTGGAGAAGATATTCAGATAGCTGAGCTTGCTGCGGAGACTTTCGGAGCGTCAGCAGCGCAGCTGACATCCTTGTGTCGAGAGGCAGTTTTTGCGGCCCTCGATGATAGTCCCGATGCACGTTACGTCAACAAGGCGAATTTTTCGATTGCCCTAGGGCAATGAATCCTACGGCTGCCCTGCATTTCTCGCCCTGGCTCCTGGGGTGTAGCGCACCGGCCGGCCCCCCCTGAGTCGCCGCGAACGCGGGAAATTCGACGCGTTCTAGTTTGGGGGCCGCCCGGCCCCCCGGCGCCTGAGTAAAGCCCCCAGCCGCCGACCCAAACTGTCGGGGGCGTTTCGGGTTCCCCGGGGTCCCGTCCGGCGCAGGGGGGGGTGGAGGGGGGGGGTTCTGGGTTCCACTTTACGGCGGTAATTCGCCGACAGGTCAGGTTTGCTTGCTTTGCCGGAGGCGTCACAGGTTTTTCGTTTGCCGCAACTCGATTTGCCGACGCCGCTAGTTGCGGGAAAACGGCGAGTTTCCGTGGTAAATTGAGGTAAATTTGCACCTCAACTTGAAGTAAACTACGATGAACTGGCCTCTCGGCCGCCGAAAACCGGCCCGGCGGTACTCGCCGGCGGCGAATCACCGGCAAAGTAAAACCCGAAAAACCTGCCCCTGGACCGTCACAGGCTTTTCAGTAAAATGGAACCTAGGAGCGAACTAGGGCAACTTAAGTGGGTGCTAGAAATAACTTAAGAAGGAGGCTACTCTCGTTGTTTCGTTCACGGTACCATGTAACCATACGCCGACGTCGCCCTTTACGTTCACTGGCAGACAGCCAGGACCCACACTTTTCGCATATCCTCCTGGGGATCTATAACCTCGCGGACAGTTTGTCTGTGCGGTACCGTGTCCAAGTCTACGGGAGTAGCCCCCTTCTTAAGTCTGCTCTAGCACCACTCAGACTGCCCTTAACCTGTTCACCATTCTTAACACCGAACGCAGTGCGCACAAAAAAATTTCGGTTCGGTAAGTGCTTGTAATCATATATAACTTTCTCCAAGTGTTGCCCTCTGACTATAATAATAATTTTCGGCTGATGCCAGAAGCCCGAAGTTCCAGCGAAGATGGGCACTGGGCTTGTAAACGAGACATGACCTAAGATTTGCTATCTGACTATGACGAAAGTAATAAGCATTAAGTTCCTATTCGCGAACAGGGATGGTGTTGTTCTCGAACAAGACGCTGATATGAACGCGCTTGTGTCGGAGGTCAAGGAACACCTCCTAGCCGCCTGGCCTAAAGGTGCTCTAAGTCTGACCCTGCTAGTATGAGAAATTTTTAGTGTGTAGAAGCTGGAAACGTGCATTCCGAGGAACAGATCAGACTAGTTTGCATGGGTAAAGGTATTTTGCCGAATCACAAGACGCTAGAAGGTTTTCACTAATATTGATTATATGTCAAATGAATTGAGTTGTTTATTGCAGCTTGTAAAGTGCCAATTTTTGCAAATCACCCGACACCAATCAATATCTCGATTCGGGAATTAAGCGCAATACCTTCCGGCCAAGGTGCATCCTGTCAACCTAGCACAAACAAATAATATTTGCAGCCTCTCAATCAAATAAAAGACTTACTAATGACGATGAAGTAACGTCTACTACATGTGCTTGCACTCTACAGTAGCGCCCTGGGCTCGTGGGGGCACAAGCGTGCGCCCCAAAGGCCGATTAATGAGCAGCCATTACGCTACCTATGGTTACTTTGATATCCAGGCGCGTATCCAGGCGCGTCTACTGCCATCCTCATCGCGTGCTAGTTCTCTATGCCATCCTCGTCGCGTGCTAGTTCTCTATCCTCGCTGGCCGTTGCCCTGTGCGGTACCGTGGCCAGGTACCGTGGCCAGGCTACTCTGGCCGGGGTCAATATATTCCCAACTACTGGATAAAATAGACAGAGGCTAGCTGCACGAGGCGCACCCAGCTCCGCATAGCCTCCGCATCTACTATCCAAGCTTATGTATCTTATATCATCCTTAAGTTCCGTGTTCCATACAACCGATTGACGCGTGACGTTGTAAACTAGTTATGTCGTCACAACTTCTACCGAAACAGCACGGCAGGCGGCGACGGTACTACACTCCCGAAGAAATTAATGCGCACAACTCTGCTGATGATGCCTGGTTTTCGCTGTTTCACAATGTGTTTGATCTCACGGAGCTAATTGCCACCCATAGAAGCAATTTAACCCAGCCCTTGATCAGCAATGCGGGGCGCGATATCTCGCATTGGTTCGACGGCAAAACCATGATGGTGAAATCCTACTACAGTGAGGACAAGGGGGTCATGCTTCCATATGTTCCCATGGGTCGCTTTCTCAACGTTTGATTGTGGCCCTTTGGTGCAGCAGCGTCATTCCAGACACTATGTTCCAGAATCTGGACTCGAGTGCGAAGGTACCACCATCTGGACCGACTTCGGAATGGTCCACAGAACTCTTCGATGGGATACCTTGGTAAGCTAAGCATACAACCTCATGAGAATCCTTGAATTTTTACAGGTGGAAAGATGAACGGTATGTTGTCGGCCAACTCTCAAAGAACGTTCGTAAGCTCAGGATCGTCAACGTCCTGACGCAACAGTCTGATGTGCTGAATGTGTGTGGCGAAGAGACTGTCGAGGAAATACAAACTCGGTACTCAGGTTACTGGAAGAACATCGGCCAAACTGTAAAATCACAGGTATATACAATACAATGCGCATGCCCTCTGTTATACTTGGAAGCAGCTGAAGGACGAAAATTTCGTGAAAATGGATATGAGCAAGACTTTGGAACAATCTGGGATTTTTGATGAAAGCACTCTGTTCGAGAGTATGGGAATAGACGAAGATCAATATATTCCAGTTGTGCATGTGTACTTCAACGATGATTTGACTTACGATTAACAGCTTCGTACAAGAGACTTCTCATCCAGCCAAACATGCGCCTTAGCCGCAAGGACCCCCCCCCCCCCCCCCCCCGCATTCAAATCGGCATTCGCCTTGGCAACTCAGGCAGACTTCTCGGGACTACTAGCTACACACCACCGTGGTAACCGCCGAACTTTCGGTCGGACTAAGGGAACCATGCGCCAGTCTGATCGCAAGGGACATTGGCCTGCAGTTTCTAATGAGCGCACGTCGTGGCATTCATGTGGTGTTTGTGGGTAGTAAGCTAAGGATGCTCACTTGGGTGCTCTCAGCAATATAGAAGCAAGATTGGAGTACCAACTACCGACGCTAAAGTCGACGCTACCAGCCTACTACACCAACGTCCGTAAAAAAAGATACTAGTAAGCAAAAGCCTGAGGGGCTCTAGGAAGCGAGATAGTAAACTCCGGGGCGGGGAAGCAGCCTGATGGGGCTGCCCTGCCGTCCGAGGGTGAACTATCGAGGTTGCGCAGTGGCGGTACACCGGCGTCTCTGTTAAAAGCACTTTTCTTTTTTAAAAAAAACAGTCTCTCATGCGATGGCTGCCAATCTAGCAGGATGTCGCGATAACCCACGTCGTAAGCCCATGCAGTTCGCGATTGAAGCCCCGACCTCGTACACGAATGCAGAATTGTCGTATGAACCAACGATGCGCGTTGTGCACGGCACTGTCAGAGACCTGGTATGCCGGCGCACGATGTTCGCAGGTCATCATATTACCGGGTGCAGGTTGCTGTACTTGCGGCGCTCATCGAACAGCTGCTCCAGGAAGAGTTGCACCATCAGATCACTAAATTCCATGCACTCAAGCCGTCAAAACCTCAGTTGTATATTTACGAAATAAAATCAATGAATTCGTTCGTAGGCCACAAATTACAATTAAGGCCTATCTCGAGCGAATAGAGAAGTATGCGAACTGTTCCCCAAGTTGCTTTGTCGTCTCATTGATATACATTGATCGACTCTGTCAACATTCGGTGATGTCGCTATCCCTACTGAATATCCACCGTATTCTGATTACAGCAGTTTGTGTGAGTCGCGTCAATTTGGCTAGGCTCTATGATGACTCGCAGGTTGCTGCAAAATTCCTAGACGACTCATATTATCCTAATTTATTCTACTCTCAACTTGGTGGCATTCCTCTCAAGGAGCTCAATAATCTTGAGGTGCTCATCATCTTTTCGCTTGCCTCACACAGCCTACCGCAGGTTGAGTTTCTGTTCGGGCTTAATTTTGCACTTCACGTTTCCCCTCATGAATACTGCCGCTATTATTCCGGGTTAAGCCCGTTGGGAAGCGCACCCTACGCAGACTCGAGAAGGCAATTTCGCGACTGATCCGGCTACGACCCTGCCTGGCAACGCCGCGACCTCTTGCACCAGGCCGCGTCGCGTTTTATTCTCGGAGTGCCCGCGTCGATAGATCCCTGAATGAGCTGCTCTTAAATGCCAAACTCGAGCTTCGCAGAGAATCTAGCACAGTTAGGTGGGATTAATTATAGAGAGGCGAGGAAAAATGCCTCAGGCTCTCGGGCAAGCCGGCGGGTCGGTAGGGGGGGTCACTGGGCCCGGGCGCTCTCCGGGCTACGCTCCGCCTCCGCTGGCGCCTGGTTTCCGTCCACTTGGCCTTTCGTATCTCCCACTAGCCTGAGCTAAAGGAAGCAGAGTAAACTCCCCCCTCACTGATGCATGGGGGAGGCCGGGCTGAGCTCAATTCAGTTGAGAGTGCCAGAATGAAGGCCGACGGACCGCGCTTGGATGGCGCAGCCACCTCAGCGGGGGCGGAAGAGGGTAGGGCAGGGTGGGTGCTTCATTTGTGCCGATCTTGCAGTCACAGCCCGACCCCGCTCCAGCGGCGGGCCTGCGGACTCATCGCGCCCACCACACTGAGATCGTTGCGCATCTCCGCGTATTCGCTGAGCGGCGCGGGTGCAAAGCCTGTCATAAATCATGCAGCCCGGACATCCAGCGCCCGCGGGGGTCACCAACGCCGGCGGTTCGCCGCCCTCGTCCGATGGACGTGCGCTCGTCCGACGGCCGTGCGCTCGTCCGACGGCCGAATCCTCGTCCGAGGGCGCCGATCCGCCGTCCGAGGGTCCGAGGGCGTCGGCCGAGGAGCGGCGCCCTCGTCCCGAGGGCGCCGAGGGCGCCACTGACCCCCCTCAATTTCCGCCGTTCTTGCGTGGGGGGGGCGCCTCGATGGGGTGTCCAGGGCCTGGCAAAAGGACTCGTCCGCGCGCGCGACGCAGCCCGAGTTATGGCCGAACTGCATCACGCGAACTGCGGCAGCACAAAACACAGGTCGCCCGAGGCAGGGCGGAGCGAATCGTGCGGTCATCACTCTAGATAGGGGCGGACAGTGAAGCCCGGGCGCTTCGGGGCCGCTTCGGCTGGGTCCGGTTCCCTGGATGGGTCGGGAGCAGTGCACCGAGATGCTGGTTTCGTGCAAGGACCTAATTTGGGTATGTTGCGTGAGGCCCGGCCTCACGCATCTCCGCCGAGTTTCGTGGCTGCACGAAATCAGGAACCCCCCGCACCGCGAATGCATGGTGCCGACAGCACTGGTGGCGGCCCTCGACAAAGCGCTTCGGGACGTCGCGGGCCGACGCCAGGCGCCTCCCGGCGGCGCGGAATCACGTCGCCGCGCGTTCGGAACCGTTCCTGCGTGCCCTGCGGCGCTGCTCTGAGCCGCAGAGCCTTCGGCGCTGCTCGTGCGCGCCTGGAGCGCCCGCTCTGGTGAGGCTTCGGTGAGGCACCGGAACTAGATCGCTTCGCTGGGCGCTGCTGGGCGTCGCGCCGACGTGTCGAGTGTTCAGTGCACTCCCAGGTCGACCTACGAGGCGCGGGAACACGCGCTGCGCCTACCGCTCGTGGCGTCTGCGCTGGCACAGGCGCGAGACGGGATTGGCGTTTCTCGCCTGGAAACGAGGCGATGGGCCACAACGCGTCCTCGCGGGCTACAGGCGTCGGACGGCTGCGCGATGGGTTCCGACGACATGTATATCGACTCGAGTGCGCCCACGCCAGCCCAAAGTCGCCGGAGCGCCTCGTACACGCGACCGCGTTTTGCCCGCGCGGGAGGAAAATCGAGACTTTGCGAGGTCGTAGCTCCGCGAGATCGACGTCGATTTACGCGAACCCAGACTCTCTAAGTATCAGTTAGAAGTCGGCTATCCATCGCAAGTGACCGCAAGGTCGAACTCGACGGTCCACCGCCGGTCGACTTTCACTGTCCGCCCCTACTCTAGAGCAGGAAATTAGCAGGACCCAAATCAATGTAGTCGCGCGCGGCGCGGTAGGCGGTCCGTCGACCGACCGCCACTGGTTTTTCACTGCGGAGCGCACGGGCTAGTTTCGCGACGCGTTCGTTTCCCTCGCGTCGATGCGCTGCAGAGGCACTACTCTCAGTAGGGTCCTCTAGCGGTCTGCACAGTTTCGGAAATAGGGACGGCCGCGTTCGCGCGCACGGGCCATCGCAAAAACCCCGGCTACTCAGCCACACACCTTGTCCGAAGCTCCAATCCCAATGCGCATTGCTATCCAAAGCATATCAAGCGTCATGCTACCTCTGTTCCTGCATAGATGCTTCGGATTTAGCGAGCTGGTTCGCCAAGCAGTGCG